TGTTTATGACTTCCTATATCATGTCCATTTCTCTTGCTCTTCGTCCTCAATATCAGACTCTCAACTGTCACTGAGCACAGTCCAGCTGGTCAACACGCTGAGAAGCCATTCATATTTCCTATCCTGTACAAACAACGCACCATGTCTCGCACCTCGTTCCTCTCCCTCGCCACAGCTCTCATCCTCCAACTACTCACCCTCGTCCCCGCCACGGAAGCAAAGAAAAGCAAAAGCGGTGGTATCGACGTCGAAGAAGAAAACCTAGGCGGGCGCATCGCTCCCCCACCCGCCTTATCCTCGCGTTATTCTCCATCTTTCTTGTCCTACAAGTTCTCAGCCTCATTCCAACCGTTGAAGCAGCAAAGAAGGGCAAGGGTTCGGGAGGCGGCGTTGAAGAAGAGGCCGCTGCCGTGCGCATAAGCGGGAGCGGAATCGTGTTCTTGGTGATGGCTGCAGTGGCGGCGGCGGCTACCGCTGGAGCTGCGGTGTGGTAACTTCGACCCTTACGCGCGGACAGGGCACGGAGAGCTGGTGGCCCCTGAGGAGGACAATGCTACAGCTCCGTGGAGGGGCTTGGTGGTAGTGTCATACCCGGGGCTGTGACGAGTATCGACAACAGTCAACGCAGATGCCCCCGCGCCCTCCCAGAGTTCTCGCTTCCGGATCACCTAGGATCTCCGGACCTGCTTGTTACAAGCGCCAGCATTGTCGGATCTCGTCGAGCCATCAATTCTCACTTCGGCATATTACTATCATGCGGCAGGATGCTACCCAGTGCTGTATAACCAGGTTCGGAGGAGAAAAGGGTCTACGGGTAGGGATAAGTATACCACGTGATCCTGTTCTGGGGTGAGTTTGGACAGTTGAGAAGAGCAAGTTGAGCGCCGGGAATGGATCCGGAGGGAGGCAGCTGTTGTCACCGCTTAGCTTGATCAAGGAGCGCATGAGCGAGTGGTGTTTGAGTGTATTATTCCTGTAAATATTAAATGACAAGTTGGTTTCGGATATATGTGCATAACGTTTTGGACAATTTCATGCCGCCTTCTAGTAACTGTTTATTGATGCAAGCACAATACTTAATGTAATAGATACTGCTGGTTTGCAAATGCTTCGTGTTGACACATGGCTGCGAGATGAAGCTATAGGCCTGCCCACGGTAACTTGAAGTTCACTAGGGACGACTGCAACAATTTCCAACGCGATATAAGATCAGCATTGTCTCTACGTCAAACTCAAACAATTCGTTGTTTTTACAATAGCATTATGGTGGTAGAGAGGAGATGGAAACAAAGACCGGCTTTGTCAACCAACTTTCATGTGCTTCCGCTAGCGTCATTTCCAAAACTTGAGATGCAAGACAACATTGTGTATCCTCACCAATCTACAACGCGACGCAGCATAAAGGTCCCATGTGCCCCGGGCTAAATCAAGATGCCAAAACCGCTCTGGTTATCTTCTGAACGCCCACCAAATTTGAGAACTCCGCGAACACCAATCCCAAAGTCACCATTACCGGTTCTACCACTACCACCACGATGGACCCGGTCTCGCCAGAACTGGCTTCGGCGTTGTTGCAATGGGTGAATTCGTTCGATGAGGTACATAAGCCGGTGGGCTCGTGGAAGGAGCTTGAAGATGGCCAGATACTCTGGAAGATACTAGGTACGTCCCCCCTCCCCTCTCCGAAATTCTCCATTTGAAGTACACAAGCTAACTCTCAAATCACAGTTGACCTAGACCCCGCATACTTTCAAGGCGAACTCCCCGAACCCGACCGCAAGTCCGCCGATAACTGGATACCGCGATGGCAGAACCTGAAGCGCATAGACCGCATGGTCAGGACATACATACGAGAGGAATGCGACAGGCTGCCGAACTTGAGCAAGACCATGTCACCGAACCTCAAAGCCATTGCAATAGAGGGCTCGAAGAACGAGACCATTAAGGTAGGCGCTCTTACGCGCTTCACGTTTGAACGGCGCTTGACTGAAATCATTCCGCAGCTTACCAGAATCATCGTTCTCGCCTCCATGTACTCCCGGAAGACAAACGCACGCATGGGCCAGGTCTTGATTGGACTTGGGCCGAAAGTGTCGCGAGTGGTAGCAAAGGCTATCCAGCAAGCCGAGGCGCTAGAGAAGAGCATGGTTGAATCTGGTGTCGAACATGATACTAGCTCTGAGTTTGACAATTCAACAGACTCAGAATCACCGTCGAGAACAGGTCCGGCCATCGAACGAGACCCCGAACTTGAGCGGGAGGAGAGGCTTATCCAGGCTCAAAAGGAGAATCAAGAACTTGGATCCAAGATCCTCAGCTTGACAGCAGAGCTCACGCAGATGCGGAACCAGATCTCTACTCTAGAGGAGGAGCTCGCCGAGTCGAAGCTGCACCTCGATCAGAAGAGCCGCGCCGCTTACGATGACCAAGCCATTGAGCAGCTAGAGCATAGGGCACAGCGCGACAAAGACTACATTGTCGAGCTCGAGTCAGACCTGGCTAACTCAAAAGCACAGGTCGATAACCAAGAGAGGCTGCTCGGGAGATTGAAGGCTGATGCCGCCACGAAGCGGGATCTTCGTGACGAGCTGCAGCTCATCAAAATTGAGCGCGACGACCTTCTTCAGAAGGCCAAGATGAACGAGAACCTGAAGAAGAAGATCCAGGGCTTGCAAGAGCAGGAGAAGGCCAACTCAACACTCCGAGCTGACCTTGCAGATGCGATGAGCCAGTTGGAGGACCTCCAGCGCATAAGAGATAGATGCGCTGCGCTTGAGAAAGCGAATGAGGAGAACTGCGTCACCATTGCCAACGGAGAACAGGAGATCTTTGACTCAAAGCGGGCGAAGAAGCAACTCGAGCATGAGCTCAGAGTCCTGCAAGGCAAAGCCGAGCAGAGACTGGAGATGCAGATCCGCGCAGAGGAGACCGTCCGAGATCTTCAGCAACGACTTCGCGAGGCGGAGGCTGCCAGCGCGCCAGTCCCGGATAGTCTTGGAAATGAGCTTGAACACGCTGCCAGAACGGAGCAGCTCGAAGACAGGCTAGTTGAATCCGAGACCCTTCTTCACTGGAACCGCCTACTCATGCTCCACTACAGGAAAGATCCCAAGCAAACCACTTCTAGCGTCGCCGCGGATGGAATTCTACTCCATCAGAAGCTTGACATGCTGGAAGCTAGGTGCAAGAGGCTTGAGGAGCAATATCTTGACGTTTACCAGGAGAATCTAGGCTTGCAAGACGCTCTCAAGGAGGGTCCGAAGGAGGACAATGTTGAGAAGTACTTTCTTTCTTCAGGCACGACTGAAAATTCTCCCGCTGACATTATTAACAGCTCACAGCCATTCATTCGACAGCGCGACCAGTTGCACGCCGCCAACACGGAGCTTGCGGAGCTCAAAGCGAAGTACTACGCCTCGATAGCTGAGGTCGCTGATCTCAAGCACAAGCTTACAAAGGCTAAACCAGCTGCGAATGGCGCCGAGACACTGAATGAGAAGACAGACGCTGACTTCAAGGTCCTCACCACTAATCATGAGGAGCTACTTGCGTCTCAGGTGGAGCTTGAAAAGCACGCCAAAGGTCTGCAAACTGAGCTCGAGGAGAAGAGCAGCCTCCTTCGGCACGCGCTGCTGAGTCGCGAGGCTGTCGTAAAGGAGCCACGCGAGACTCGCCAAACAGAACAGTTGAAGTTGATTACGCAGCGCCTGGATGCTGTCCGGACTGCTCCAGCTGAAGTAGCTCCAGACGTTCAAACGAAGGTGGCAGATAGCTTCTGCAAGCAGATCCTCGGCTTGCAGGACCTGGCTGCGGCGCATATGACGGTAAGCAACCTCCTGGAGCAGGACTCCGCAAAGGAGCCTCTGTTCCTTAGCTTCGTTCCGGAGGCTCCTCAGGGCTCTGACGAGGCGATGAGACCTGTCTCTCCTACGACTTCCCTCTCACCTAGCGCCCTTGTCATGCTACCCTCAATTCCGCCAGCCGCATCTGCCACGGTGGCCTCGTCTGTCAGTTCGACTGCCTCATACGAAAAAGTTGCCACTGACGGCCCAAGTGCCTCTAATGGCGCGGGTACTACCACTATCGGGAAAGCCCCCTCTATCTCCTCGAGCAGCAGTTACTCATCTCGTCCAAGTTCTACCCCGAAAAGAAAGTCCATGTTCGCTAACCTAAGCAACTTCTTCTCAGGAACTGAAACACCTCCAAGCCCGCCTCAGCACGCCGCAAGATGGCCCGGCGCAGCACCAACCAAACCAAAGCGATCCATCAGCGGAATCCAGCAGAGGAAATGGCCAGGCACGTAGTTCCACCGTACGTCTCCTTTCAACCAGTTTCGTTCTCAGAGTTTCGCTGGCGACGCTCAGATGAACCGGTTCGCTGACTGCATGTCATCGACCCCGCAGCAACAGGACCTGCAGAACCTACGGAGAGAAAACAAACTCATAGCCAGCGCGTGGTACGATATGGGCCGCAGGCTGCAGAGCAATACCGTGGTGCTGCAGCGCAGAGTACAGGAGCCGAAGAGCTGGATTGGGAAGCAGAGGATGGCTGTCGGTCAGGGCGGCGGTGTGAGTGGGATACGGAGATGAACGGGAGTTGTCTTTGAGGAGTTCTTGGCGTTGTGGTGTTGCATTCGCACTTTTCTTGTTTCTCTGGGAGGTGCATCTCTGGGAATTACTTTAGTACTGCTTCATACCCCCCAATGCATAGAAGCGAGGCGTTTTTGCGCTTTTAGGCCGCTGGCGGCACAACAGAACTTGCTCTTGCCGCACGGAATAACTCAGAGTCATCTCACTCTCGAAGTGGCCACTGCGTTTCGCTGAATTCTGGTTTGCCTACTTAATTGTATCTCAAGCGACTGCTTTCACCATTTGCTCGGGTCCACTAATGTTACGAGAGATAATTGTGGAGAAATTTGGTGGAAAAACCTGCACGAAAAATGCTCAAGTGGCTCCGCTCTCAGTATAACAACTGCACAAGCAGAGTTTTATATCAAAACAAGCTGGCTGGCGCAGCGGAAGCGTAGGTTGCCAAAATTCGCCCTTTCCATTCACACAACACTAACACTCTTTACAGGCGCCGGGCTCATAACCCGGAGGACGGTGGATCGAAACCACCGCCAGCTAAATACTTTGACTTTTGCTCTTTTTGCAGAATGCATAACCGGACAGCTAGTTTTTGACAACACTTAGCTCTCTTTCCTTTTGAACTCTATCTTATCTTTTTACATAGTGGAATTATGAAGTTGTGGAATTCTCCCTGATGAGGTGCGAGAAAGCGTGACTCAACGGAGATACCGCGGGATTGCCACCACAAGGGGGCCTGATAAGGTATCCACAACCATGATCCACAGAATCCACAATAGGAAAGAAGCATTCGAAGGACTACTTACGTACGCTCAATCGTATCTCGAATGGCTTCTTCACGTCTGACAACTCTATGGACTGGAGCAATTCGAATATCAAATCTCCTCCATCTCCTCCCCAAATCGTCCAGCGCCGGAAAGTCCCCGACCTCAACTCGCTCCGGCCGCACAAAGACGCCGCAGCTGGGGCTGCACTCGAAGTACCTGGCTCCGCCCACGCTACCGTCGTTCTTGCCTGTGGGCTCGTCGAGCGCGATGCCTACCCATGGCTGCCCTGGGAGACCTGGGATCTGTGGCACAGGACCGATGAAGCGGATCGTGCCGCGGCGGTCGTCGGTTGCTGGGAGGAGGCGGCAGCGTTTATTGAGGGCGATGCCTGGAAGGTGAATCATTTATCAGCATAAGATTTTTTCGGTGCACTCGTTCATGCAAAGTCACGTGCTCACCTCTCTCCTCAATCTCCCGCTCCAGCGCGCGCACCTTCTGCTCCTCGATACTCGGCGCATTGGGGTCGAATCGGCCGAGCTTTTGCGCCTTCTTCCAGGCTAGCACGCTATCGTTACGCGCCTCGTACTCCTCGGCTGGCATGCTGTATTTCTCGACCAAGGAGACATCGGTGAAATCCGTGCGGGCGGCTGCGGGGCGCGTGTCTTGGATCTGGTTTGTTGCGATGTGTCAGATTCAGATCTAGAGTGAGAGAGCGCGCTTTGGGCGGAGGTGCGGATGGTTGCATGTGCGTTTTAGTAAAAGAGGAAGGAATTGGCTTTGGCTGGTAAGTGTTTGGTTGCGAGTTGAGGCTTCTCATAGTATTTGGAGTTGCTGATAATGCGCAATGCCGTGGCTTCGGAACAGCCCAGCGATAACGCTGCGCTGGAGCGAGGCTAGGGCTATCTGGCCGCGAGGCGGCTGAAAGAGGATGCTGGACAGAAATTCGTCGAGTCTCGACCCGAGATAATAAATCCCAAGCGAGGAACGAACGGGCATGCAACACAAAACTGTAGGGCCAGGCACAGTATAGGAACGCGAGAGTGAAGATCGACGATGGGTGAGATCCGTCAGCGTTACCTACGTGCTATTTGCCTCCTTGAGATGATTGTCCTGACCAGAATATGGAACTCAGGCATAAGAAGAGACAGACAGAAGAGGTAACGGGCGTAAGGAAAGTCGCCAGACGACGTGTATACAAACGGGGGAGTGCTCAAGGCCATGAGACAGATAACAATGCCAGTCACGATGTAGTGATTATATCACATTCATGCACGTCAATGGAATATATCGGTTACTTACATATATTTCTGCATACGGCTGCAACGGGAACGTTGACAGCTGCACGTTCTCCTCATCGGCAGCCTCGATAGCTGCAGCATGCTGCGAGCCGAGCCGAAGAGTGAGCTTCTGGGCGGTTGCTGGAATACCAGTGATAGGTTCAAGCCGGGTTTTGAGTTGGGCTATGCTCCAGGACGGAGTAATGCGCCGCTCTGAGGACGCATTTGGAGAGGTGATCAGGAGCGGGATGTCAGCTGCAGGACGGAGAGACATCGTGGTCACTTCCTTGCGGATGCAATTAACTACGTGCTCGAATTCGACACAGTTGTGAGGGTAGATCGAAGGGCTTGAGGCGGTGATAGAGGAAGGTTGGTTCTGCCGGTGTGTTTCGTTTGCTGCCTTTCCTTTGCCGCAATGTTTGTGTGATAGCTTCGGTTTTTCTCACAACTATGGGCCTTACCTGTTCTATTCTTAATCCAAAAGCAGTTGTCTATATCCGCGGTAATCTTTCACCACATCAACATCGACCTCGCGATGTATGAGGTCACGTTCCAACGCGCCATCGTCCTGGGTCGAGCCGCTCTAAGATTAAATCTGTGCCTGAGGCTCGACTCACGACTAAACTATCCGCCAGTTACAGCGGCGCGCCCTGACTCGCATGATTCCGAGCAATGGTTGGCATGAACTCCAGCAGGTGTCATATGCAGACAGAGGTCTGTAACTCTCTCATCCTGAAACGTCCTCGCGAGCCCGCCGGGCTATCGTAGCTCTTTCGGAGCAGTCACTTAATCAGAATTGACAACATCGCAAGCCCGCACACGAGCATCAGCAAGCGGTCTGCGCCAAACTACTGGCTCCTCTCCTCTCCACTGCATAATGCAATTCTATTCCGAGCGATAGGGTCTCACCGCCCTTAACGAACCGCTCTAAACGCAGTTCGCGACCAGGATCTGGTCATTTTGCGAATCTGGGCGCTGCGCATGAACTGTAAGAACTGTTCGGTGACGGCAAGTTCATGCCAAGGCCATCCAGCATTATCGCCGAGAACGACAATTGGTGCTCGGCTATGCGAACGACAGCTGGCAGACTAGAGGGTTTCTGCTGCCCGACTCATCTGACGCGCAGAAGAATCCGTATTGTTCTCGTGGCGGAGGGCCTGGCGCGGAGTCTGAGTCGCGATTGAGGCCGTGCTGCACTCTTCCGTCCAGTAACGGCTCTCATGCTCGCCGCCAGGAGGCAGACGGGTTTCAGCCAGCCTCCAAACGAATATCACAAAGCTCTCTTTGTCATCCCGAGCACAAGCACTAGCACTCGAACGTCGTCTGTGCGCATCGACAGCTAATGCGTTCAAGCAGCATGGCGTGCATGGTTGCTGGATCGACCTTCGTCATAACCCTAGCCTCGACTACCCCAAAGCACCTCTCCACAACGCAGAAGTCTGGATGAACACGCGCACCGCTCACCGCTTAAATCGCGTGGCAGTCTGAACCATGGTTGTCGGTCATAGAGCAGCAGACAATCCTGCTTGCGCAATAAGGCAGGCAGTCACCCTGAGCTGCTGGCCGATGCGTTGTCACCAGCCGCCAGCCCAGGACAACGTGGTTCCTCAGCAGCACCGCTTCAACGCTCACGTGGGGTGTGCGACTACTACCGACTTCATCTACTGCCGCCCTTAACGCCGGGAGCCGGCCACCAAAATGGATGACATCTGAAAGGCAAGTCATCGCCAGTACTCCGTACACCGCCATTACGTGACCTGCCGAGATCAGCGTCAATGTGGGGTTCAATGGAGACTTATTGCAGCTTCAAACAAGCTGTGAGAGGAGCCTCTGTGGTCTTTAGAGCATCTGGCCCCTTTACCCAAGCCACTGCCAATGTCGAAGTCAACTTAAGATTCAAAGCAAGCCCCAGATGATGTGTGTAGATCTAGGTTTGCGGCGTCTGCCAGACCGCTGTCGTGCGCTCCGATCCGAACAGCCTTACCCCCAGCGGTGGTTCTGTAATCTGTGACAGCGCTTGACGTCCAATCAGACATGGCGGCGGTCATGACTCGTAAAGTCGACTGTTGTGATCAGGAAACCGTTCAGAGATCCACGACGTAGCGTAGATCTGCTAGCTGTCCTTTAACCGGCGTTTTAAGTAGACCAAGCATGACAGACACGTCATCAGAGGTGGCATAGCTGGCGTAGCTTCGCTCTCCCGAGGCTGCTATCCCTCTTTCTTAGTGAACGGCTCCCGTGTGGTCAGCTGTCGTTGTTGTCGAGCTTAGGTCCACCCTAGTAAATAACCTTACCTCGGACATGCAGCAAGTGGCGCATCCGTTACTATCCACAGATAGATTGATCGTCCAGCAGTTTGCTGCAGAGCATATTCTTCTGCTCGCCAGCTCGCATACTCGTTCTCTTCCGTTTATTTCCTCCTTCACGTTCGGTGCCCATGCTGGCCATGAGTTTCCCGCGCGATTGGATGCACCATGTTTCAATCCCTGGTCAGATCTCCCTGAGCGTTTCCTAACTCGTCCGTGTGGGTGGCCACTGAGGGACCAGTACTGGTATACATAGATATCGTTGGTCGTTCACCTACTGCCGGACTGTTCTTAAGCCTAATCCCAATTTACTGTCATCACCAGTTCACACACTCGGATTGCTCTTACTTTTAGTCGCGGCTGATCGAGGCTTTTCCTATTACTCTCTCGTCTGACTAAGAGCTCCACTACAACGTATCAGAATCGTGGGCAATACTTTCCAAGAGGCAACGGGCTCTTTCCCAGTAGTGGCTGGGTTCCAGCTCCCCACGAAGTATCGGGCTGTTCATGTCAACATTCGGAGCCTAAATACAACAGCTGGGAATCTCAAAAGGACGGAGCGACGACAAGCTGTGAGCGGTGGCTTTAGTTTCGCACAGAAAGTCATCTTTGCCAAACGGCTAGGCAGACAAGCTCAGAGAAGGCGGCGTAACCATCTCTACGTCTCTGGCACGGCTAAGGGCGATCATGTCAACCTCACAATCAAGCAAGTCGGGATTCTAAATTCCGATAATCTCACCTTCGATCGCTCGGGATGATATGCAGACCGTCGCACGAGTAAGAGAAATCCAATCTCGCACAGCAGAAGGCAAGAAGCATCCTTTTTTCCCACCCGGGCTGGCCTTCCCAAGGCTGGCCCAACCGCCCGCATCGTGGATATCTCACTCCTCCTCGAGTCGAGAGACTCAGAGTCTCCGCCCGGAAATCAGAGCACGAAGAGCACCACCTCAGGGGCAACGTCATCCTCAGGTGTCACAAGGCCTTACACGACCGCACCAACCCCTTACACTTCAGCAACAGCTTATGCGACGTCTGCTCCGCTCCAGAGACCTCCGACACTAGCACCTCAGGGCTACAGTGGCCCCATGCTCATGCCTCTGCCCGTCTTTTCACAACAAATTCCGGCTGAACCAGGACAGGGGCAGACTTTTCGCCCGTTCTTCACAGGACCTCCTACTGCAGCACCCGTG